ATGTTTTGGGGTTTTGTTTTGTTTTTTGTTTGTTATTCTGAAAAGTCCTTTCCTGAGAATAGTCAGAGCGGATCAACATTGTCCTCAGCCCAGCATTTATCTCCACTCGCCAGCGAATGTCAATCAGGAATCAAAAAGCCAAACAGAGGAGGCTTTGAACGGTGTCATCGGGGGTCGAAGTGACTTCCAGCTGTCTGTGCGTGGGCCAGGCCTTCTCGCAGGGCAAGGAATTGTGCTGTCACACAAACCCGCTGTGTGTATGGGCTCCCAGAGCCGTGCGGGGGCTGCACGTTCTGGGGCTGCACCTGCAAGGAGGCGAGCCTGGGGGTGGGGAATCTTGGGAGGCCAAACTCGTGGCTCTGGGCTGGGTAGTTTCCAAGGCTGCTCACTGCCTCGGGGCTTTTTAACTGAGACTCGGTCTCTTTGTGACTTCCTCTCCCCTGGTCGGTGGTGAGAATAGATGAGGAAAGCCACCTGCCAGAAAAGTTGAGTGTTGTAAAATGTGACAATATTATTATTGTTGTTGATCTTGACATCCTCCTTGAGAAATTCTTTCAAGTTTGCCTTGTTTATTTATTTTTTAAAAAATATTTCCAAATTTACTTTTTTCTCCCGGTATGAAAAGTAAAAATCTTTGAATTAGCTTTTTCCCCGGTGTTCTGTCTGCTTCACCGTGGTCTAGACGTGTGTTATGGTATATGAAAGAAAAATAAAGTCTTGCTATTTGAGGTCCAAAAGAATCATCAAGAGTAAGTGTCAGGCATCAAATTATCATGTGCATATATATATATATATAAACTGAGATTCAGCTATCTTTCTCTTTAAAATACAGGGTAGAACAAAAGTAGATTTACAGTTCTTCATATGGAACATAATACAATAATTAATTGATAATAATACAAGAATAAACAGTGTTTTGCGTACTCACAACTGTAAACCTACTTTTGCTCCACCCTGTATATGGAAAAGTGTCCCCCCCAAATCACGGATTGCTCAAATAACATAGCTGTTGCTGCCGCCCGATGATTTATCTGTGATGACGTTGACACTACCTCCCCTTTTGTTTTAACAGCTTTATGGAAGTATAATTATATACCATAACATTTACTCACTGTCAGTGTACAATTCGATGAATTCAGTACATTTCTGGAGTTGTGCAGCCACTACCAGAGATCAATTCCATCTCCCCAAAAAGAAACCTTGTGCCCACCTATAGTTACACCCATTTCCACTCCAGCCCTAGGCAGCCAGGGTCTGCTTTGTCTCTGTACATGTAAATGGACTCCTGCAATATGTAGTATTTGCACATGGCTTCTCTCATTTGGTATAATGTTTTTGAGATTTATCTATATTGCAGTTATTATATGTGCAATTACTATATTGCACATGTGTTAGTAATTCATTCCTTTTCACTGCTGAACAATGTTTCTTTATATGGAGATATCACAATGTATTATTTATCTATTAACCAGTTGACAAACATTTGTTCCCAGTTTGGGGCTGGAAATATGCTGCTGTGAATATTTGTATACATGTCTGTAGGTGGATATGTTTTTATTTTTCTTGGATAGTCTCAGGATTGGAATTTCTGGGTTGAACAGTAAATTTATGTTTAAGTTTTGAAAGAAATTGCCAAACTCTTTTCCAAAGTGGTTACCCAATTCTATATTCCCATCGGCAATGAGCAAGGGTTTCAGTTTCTCCACATCCATGCTGACACATGGCATTATCTATTGAAAAATTTTAAGCCATTCTAGTAGGTATGCAGTGGTATCTCATTGTGGTTTTAATTTGCGTTTTCCAAATAACTAATGACATTGAGCATCTTTTCATGTGTTTAGTAGCCATCCATGCATGTTCTTTGGTGAAATGTCTTCTAAAATATTTTGCTCATTTAAAAGTCAGATTGTTTGTCTTCTTATTGAGTTGTAAGGTTTACTTTATGTCTTAACTTAAAAACTTTGGTAGGATTTTAACTTTGCAAATCCAATTTTGAAAGTAGGCTGTGGGATGAGGCGTTTTAGTACTACTATACCTCCTGTAAGAGGACTTTAAAGTCTTTCCTCCTACACAGCATCCTGAGGCTGGGGAAGCAGGCATCCTTCACTGTTAGAAGAGGAAATCACTGCCCAGAGAAGAAAAGTGAGGGGTTCGGGTTACCAACTTATTGCCTATAACTCCTGGATCTGGAGTGTGACCCCGTTGGAGACTGGGAGGCCAGGGGCACATGTGGAAGCGTTTCTGTCTCCCCAGGGCCCCGTGTGGGGCCTGGTGTTGCCCGAAGGCTTGCCAGGAGGCAGGACCGATGTGGACCTTGGACCCAGGCCTTGGAAGGGAGCGCTTGTTTGCTGGGTCGGGAGCCAGGTGCCCAGGTGCCCGGAGATGATGGTCAGAGGGTCCTGTTGGCGTTGGCCTGGCCTCCCATCCTTTGGGCATGCTGGATCTCACAGGTGGCTCTCCTGGCAGCAGGGTACCTTGCTTTTCGCACTTCATAAAGATTTCCACCTCGGGCCTCCCCGGGGCAGTGCAGCTGCGTCTCCTCACCCCCGGTGACCCTATCCTGCAGACAGATCCACTCCCTGCACGTGGCTTCATGCTGTGTGGGCCTCTGGGCCTGCATCTGGGCAATCTTGGAGGTCCTCAACCTGCGCGCTTTCCCGGGAGACCGGAAGCCCTTCCTCCTCTCCCTGAGCAGCAGGCATTATGGTCTGGCGCTGGACCAGATGGGCAGTCCCCCCGGGCTCTTATCTGGATGATGGGAGAAGTAAACAGAATGTTTCTGTTGTTCTGCTCCAGAGAGAGATACAGCTCTTGGAATACGGGAGGATTTTAATTGAATATTACAATGTCACATAAGCCATTTTCCACTGAGGTTCTCACCCGGCATTGTCCCTCTGGCCGTGCGTGACTTCTCGCTTTCCCTTTGTTACCCTCGACGCCCCTCCGCCCTATGCGAAGGGCCTGCACACACTGCGCTGGGCCATTCGGGCTCTGAACTCTGCATCCAGCGGCAGCAACCAAATGTGTATTGCAGCTGCCAAAAGGCTTCATTCAGTGGCTCGTTGAAGTGAATGGAAAGAGGTGTTAATAGGGTCAGGGGAAGTGATGCTATTAAAAATGACATTGTGTGGCTCTGCTCCGTGTTTATCCTCCCTCAGTGACTTCCAGACAAACTCACCCAGCTTGGCACCAGAGATGCCTGCTCCAGACTCAGTGTGAGGCAAATAAGCACTCCAGCTCGGTTAGTTACTCTTCTCTTCCTGCTGCGTCTTATCTCTTGGGATGGTGGTCAGGTGACTCAGGGTCACCTTGGCCCCTGTGGGAGGTCAGTGTTGGTGTCAGCACATGAGAATAATAGCAGGGTCAGGTGTCACACAACTCTCGGGTCGCCGGCCTCAGCCTCCAGCAAGGGTTAGGGCCTGCATAGCTCTCCCATCTTAAGATCCCAAGGGTCAGGTGTTGGTGCAAGAAGGGGATCAGGGCTCTGTTCTTTTTGGCTCTCTGGACGTGATGCAGGGAAGTCAGCCAAAGGTTCTGGAGCTCCGAATGGTGCCGGGATTGTTATTCCTGATGATCTGACTGGCTTTGCAGAGACTGAGAACTCGCGTTCTCCACAAGTAGTGAATGCTCGGAGAATAAAGTGTTCAGTTCTGAGAGACCTCTGGGGGTCTTGGGAAGAGAGAGATGGTGTAACCATAAAAATGTCTGCGACCACAGCGCCCATCTTCCTCCCCGCACTGAGGGAGGAAACAGAATTCTCTAAACTATGCATTCTCAATGGGGGCGAAGATACCTGCTCCCAGCTGTTGCCAAGGAGGCAAACATTGGTTCTGGGGCATTGGTTTGGGGCGGGGGGCGGGGGGGGAAGCATGCTCTGTTTACATATAAAGCACAGATATACATACAGTGCATGGAGTGTATCTTTTATTAGGGAAGTGATTAGGAGAAAGGTGTCTACAAATGCTCCTTAGGTGAGTAATAATGAAAAAAAAAGGGGTTGAAAACCACTGCTGCAAACTAAGGTTTATTTTGATGAAAATAGCAGAGTCCTGAAAGGTGAGAGAGAGCGGCCAACCCTGCCAGGACGGAGGGTGTCAGGACTTGGCTGCTGGGAGCTCCCTGCTCCCATCATCTGGGTTAGACATTGGAGAGCGAGTCCAGGGTGCAGTCTCCCATGGCCCCGCTCGTGTTGTTTGCCCCCTCCTCTCACAGGGGCTTGTGGTACGTGCTATTTCACAGGGGTTCCCAATTCTCTTCAGTTCAGCATGCTGGAGAGAGAGTGGTCCTTCCTGCCTTCTCTTCTTATTCATTCTTAAATTGTATTTAATTTTAAATTCTTCAATTACAGTTGACATACAATATTATACTAGTTTCAGGTGCAGAGCATAGTGATTTGACATTTATATAACTTGCAAAGTGAGCACCCTGATTAGTCTCGTTCCCATCAGACACCCTACAGAGTTATTACAATATGATTGACTCTTTTCCCTATGCTGTGCTTTACTCTAAATGAGGATAAGAAAAAGTTAGGAGTTCGGTGGGGGTGGGGGGGGTGGAGAGGGAGGAATAGCACCTCAAGTCTCTTGCTTTCCTTAAGCTCTTCAATGAAGGCCACTAGAGAGGTACTGGGCTGCCACCTTTCACAAGAGGGCGGGAAGAAACTTGGGGAATTTGAGGCCACGCTTTGTGATCATGCCTGGCCGCCATTTGGGGCTGCTGGGCAAGGAGGGGAGCTTTCGAGTGGGGAAGACCGAGGAACTCAGACCGACGAGGAAGGGTCCTCCCAAGCCATGGCAGCCCAGCTCCCTTTCGCCCCTCCCTTGGAAGAGCGAGCACACCCCTGGATTTGCCTTCCTGCTGGTGTCTCTCTGTGGTTCTCTTTTCCTTCTTGTTCTTTTCTTTCTCTCTGGTCTCTTCATTGGGACTTGGCCGGGCCATGTGCAAACCCAAACCATTCAACAGTGCTGGAGAGTAGATAGTATTTACCTCAATAATGGTAGTCTCTTTCCGATTCTTTTTAACCCTCAATTCAGATGACGGGTCTAAGCCGACGCCCACGATGGAGACGCAGCCGGTGTTCGACGGGGACGGTAAGCTCCGGTATTACTTCCGACTCCCATTCCCCACCCGGTTTCAGATTTGGGGAAGGTAGGTCTTTCCTTCGGATGTCTGTTTAAGCATTATCATTCTTTTTTCTTTTTTTAATTGTCATTTTCCCCAGTGTATGCTGGGTTGTTTTGACCTTTTAAACAAATGCAAACCCTCCCAGGAACTGGTACACTCGCCACTTCTGGACAGGCCCTCTGTGCTCGCCAGGCTTCCTGCCTGGCTGCTGGTGGCCAGCAATAACACAGCCTGCACGGACCCTGGGAGCTGCCAAGACTGAGGAGCCACGGCAGAGAAAGACAGTCAGGCCGGCACCGTCCCCTCAGTAAATGAACCAGCACCGAGACGCTCCTGCCCTGGGCCCAGCTTCGTGCTCAGCCTCTGGGGGACGAAGGAGAAATAGAGCAGATGAAGCCCCACTCTAAAGGCAGTGGCAAGCCTTGGAGGGCTTTGTGTGTTAAACTACGTGGTCTTAGTTATAATTGTAGTAGAAATGTATGGAAGGACGAGATCACAATGCTCTGGGGAGAGATTCTGCGAGGAGATGGCAGGGACTTGAGCTGGACCTTGAAGGTGGGGAGGAAGAATTAGGGCATTCCAGGCAGGGGACCGGCATGGATAAGGGAGGGAGTATTGTGGGGATGGGACATAGTAAGGAAAGTAGCAGGAAAGGGACAGGTTAGTGGAGCTGGTTTGGTTAAGTTGTAGGGATCATGAGAGTTGAATCAAGACAACTGAGAGAGAAGAAATTCTAGGTCAAGAGAAATAGTTGTGGCTGGTGGCAAAATAGATGTCCCCAGAGGTATAAGAAGTGTTGAGGAAGAGCTTGGGGTGCAGAAGGCTGGCCTCGATTTGAGTTTGAGGTGCTCAGGGCCTATTCTTCAGAGTGCTTTGCTAAGTACTCCGGGTTCCCACGAGGAGGAGCTGGACGCTCGGCACAGTGCCGAGTCTGACAGCTAGGTTCAGCCCTTGGTGCAATGTATAGCAACCTTTAGTAGCTTTCAGCGAGTGTATGCAGGCTGGATCATGAGCCTGGACAGTGAGACAGAGGAATAAAACAAATCATGCCACTGTTTGGTACTATGGCTAGGGATGGCCCTAGCATGAGCTGTCCTTTGCCACTGATCATTTCGTGGGACATATTTGTGTTCATGCCCAGAAGTTCCAATGCTTCTGTGATCCTCAAAGGTCCTTTATCACCGGCAAGCCTGGACCCTGGGGGATTGGGTGGAGAATGGAGACCATGCCAGCTTAGGCGACCTCCCCAGTACCCCCACTGAAGATCTTGTCACTCTACAGTGTGTTCATGGTCATCTGTCCCTGGAGGGCCTAGAACAGTGATGGTGAACCTATGACACGCATGTCAGAGGTGACACGCGAACTTATTTTTTTTGGTTGATTTTTCTTTGTTAAATGGCATTTAAATATATAAAATAAATATCAAAAATATAAATCTTTGTTTTACTATGGTTGCAAATATCAAAAAATTTCTATATGTGACACGGCACCAGAGTTAAGTTAGGGTTTTTCAAAATGCTGACACGCCGAGCTCAAAAGGTTCGCCATCACTGGCCTAGAAGCACCCCCGCGCTCTCTGGATGGGGGTCAGCCTCTGTTAAATGAGGAACCATTGGACAGGGCATGAAGCACACACCAGCCCTTTACTCTCTTTCCCACATGCAGGAGAGGCTCAGCACCTAAAATCTGTGTGGCTCAGCCGTTTCCTCCAACAATGGCCTTTGTGGGTTTGTCTGGTGTTCGTTTGTTGACTTATCCCCTTTAAGTTCTTCCAGGGAAGCAGCTGAGAGAGACTTGGCTTGGCCCAGGTTCCTCACCTCCTGGGATAATATTTTTATTCCTGGATGGAGTGGCTCAGTGCTTCTGGACGCTGACCACTCTGCCTCCCGGAACAGGAGCCCTTGCTTGGCTCCTACAAACTGATAGGGAGAGGAGCTTCCACAGCAAGGAAGGGGGAGGTTTGGGGACAAAGGGCAGATGAGGCAGATAGTCAAGCCTCAATGCCTCAGGCTTTAAAAATGCTATTAAGAAGTCTGGGAGTTTATAGTCCAATTTACATGCTCTCTTTGCCTAGACTTCATTTTCTCTCTCCTTTTTTTTCTTTCAGAAATCACAGCTCCCACTCTATGGATTAAGCACTTGGTAATCAAGGACTCCAAACTGAACAACACCAATGTAAGAAATTCAGGTAAATGATCTGACTTGGATTATATGCCTACCTGATAGCCCATGGTTGCCCCATGGTTACCCCATGACTACCTACTGGGTAGGCTTGCGCAAGTTATTTACCCTTTCTGGTCTTCAGTTTCTACAGCTGTAGAATGAGATTGGATGAGACAATTCCTTCCATCTTTAATCATCTTCAATTATTATCTCAGGGATCCTCTTTCATGAGCAGTTGACACTTTTAGCTAAAAAACCCCAACCTTCTGGCTCTATGTTTTAATATTTTAATTGACTTTCTGTATTTGAAAGAAGAATGGTTGGACATAGAGCAGTGTTACTTCAAGTCTCAGAGCCTTGGTTCTGTGTGGTTTTTAAGGCTCTAAATAAATGCTTCTGGTTGTATCTTTTCTAGTCTGATCTTTTGAGGAACTTGTGAGTAGTCAGGTTTTGGTACTAGCTGAACCCCTTGTAGAAAGGTGATAATCAGATTTTTAGAGTTCATTTACCATCATGAAGACCAAAGTCAATAAGGTTTACTTACCATTAGTAAAGACCAGATGTCCATCAACAGGAAATATATTATCAGACCCAATCCATATTTCTTATCAGGGGGAATCATCCTTCTTTTAGCCTAAGGCTTTATTGTGAGAAATGCCATTTGGCATAATTTATGCTTGCCTGTTGAATTTAGCCATATCATCTTTTTTCTTGTAGATAGCAAGGAATATAAACAAAAGTTACATCCCTTTCAACTGGAAGACAAGAGTTTTATATGGCCAGTAATTCATGAGTGTGCTGTCATTGGCCCCCTTTAGCTCTGTCCTAAAGATGGTAGTATGGGGACTAGCATGCGTGGAGTGAGTTAGACTATGGAGGTGAATCAGTGCAGCATTGGTTGATTCCTCTGTGACTTGGGCAGGCCAGTACTGCAGCATGTGTATGATTCCCTGTTTGGTAAAAGCTGGAGTCGCTGTGGGATGGTGGGTGGAAAAGAGACCATGTGAACTCCTGTGGGCCAGATTCTTGATAAAACAGGGCTGTAGTTAAAGCACAGGCTTTGGGGAATCAGTGAAATCTAGGGTTCACTTTTTAAAATATGTTTTTATTGAACTTTTAAAGAGAGAGGGAGAGAGAGAGAAACATTGATGAGTGAGAAACATTGATAGACCATCTCCTGCACACCCCCAATTGGGGATCGAACCTGCAACTCAGGCATGTGCCCTGATTGGTAATCGAACGAGACTTCTTGGTGCACAGGACGACACTGAATCCACTGAGCCACACCGGCAGGCTAGAGTTCATTTTTTAGCTCCAATACTAGTGTGCGACTCAGCCAAGTCAAATCATCCCCTTGAGCCTCAGTTCTCATCTGGAATCATGATCTTTCCCTCAAAGAATTGTGGTTAAACTGAGTTAACATTTGTATAATACTTGACTGATACCTGGCTAAGTGATCAATAGAAAGTGTATGATATATTGCAAGTACATGTGTTTGTTATTATCATCATTACTGGTAGGAAAAAATAGGAATATTAATGATGCTGCTTGTAGTGAGAATTCTTCAATAAGGAAAGAATTTGTGATTGTCACCTGAAGCAAAAGCATCTAAGAAGCCTCTACTTAGGACCTTCTCCACTCCCCCTCACTGTTAGGCAAAGAGCATAAGTCAAAGAGAAGTGGTTTTGGTGCTTGGGGCACCTGGAAGTGACATCTGCAAATGGTCTCTCAGTCCCTGAGCCCCAGCAGCTCTGCAAAGCCCCAGTACAAGGCTTAATTCTGTGACCAGGTGGTCGATATGAGAGTGTGCTGTCTCTGAAATGATTCAGCACCTTTTGCCTGGAACACTCATTTGACATTTAGCAACAGCTCCCATGAATTGCTTCATTTTCATCCGAAAGTGGTTAATCTTTCTACCTAGATTATAAACTCTGTGAGGACCAGGGCTTTATTGGCTATCTAATATATCTATTAAAGAAGCTAGCTCAAGGTGTTTGATTGCTTTGGGGAAGGATGGAGGAGGCAAGATCATCATCCTCAGTAAAACCGGAGTCATCGCTGTCATCGGAGCTCGTCTGTGTCTGGTCCTGTAGGACGTCACATATGTTATCCCATTTGAGCTTTTCCACAACTCTATGAGATAAGTGCTGTTATTGTCCCCATCTTACATGGCGAAGGGTCAGAGGTAGAGAGAGACAGTAACTTGTCCTGAGTCACAGCTAGCAAGTGGTGGGGCTGGAGGAAAGCACGTGCCCTGGGAACAGAGTGCCTGTCTTCTTGAGTTGTATTCTCTGCATGCAGTCAAGTGGCAATGCCAAGTCAGCGGATGCTGTCTGCTTCCGTAAGTTCTGCTTGTATATGGTTTCCAGTTGGATGAGTATGGGCCATGAGTATGGAGAAATGATTGCCAGGCAGCTGTAATCACCTTCCTTTTGTTAGGGTGACGCAACCAATTTGATTTTTCCCTGGTTGGCCCCAGTTTTATCTGTGAGGTTATGTCTGTAAGGTTAGGGTATAGGGTAGGATGTTGGGGGAGAGATAAAAGTAGTAGCTACTCTTGAAGAAATATCTTTATGTATTGTGCTAGCCACTTTTAAAAATATTTTTTAATTAATTTCAGAAAGGAAAGGAGAGGGAGAGAGAGATAAAAGCATCAATGACGAGCCCAGCCGGCATGGCTCAGTGGTTGAGCATTGACCCTATGAAATAGGAGGTCATGGTTTGATTTCCAGTCAGGGCACATGCCCGGGTTGTAGGCTCGATCCCCAGTGTGGGGTGTGCAGGAAGCAGCCAATCAATGATTCTCTCTCATCATTGATGTTTCTCTCTCTCTCTCTCTCCTCCCTTCCTCTCTGAAATTAATAAAAACATATTTTTTTAAAAACACGCACATCAGTGATGAGAGAGAGTCATTGATTGACTGCCTTCTCTACTCCCCCTACTGGGCATCAAGCCCGAAATCTGGGTATGTATCCTGATCGGGAATCAAACCGGGACCTCTTGGTTCATAGATCGACGTTCAACCACTGAGCCACACTGGCCGGGCTGTGCTCGCCACTTTTCAGATTCTCTCACTTGGTTTGATGAGGAGTCAGATATACCTTAATGGCACCTCGTGTCCGGGCAGCTGGCTCTGCTATGGACTGGAACCTCTGGGTCAAGCCCCTGAAACAGTTTCCCGGTAGAGTTTGCTGAAAGATTCTGGCTTCCAGGGCACTTTGGCCCACAACTCTGGGGAGGTTGGAATGGGACTCAGAACCGACTGAGTGAGTGCTCTTCTCATCTCTCTGCCTCAGAGGCAAAGAGGCCATCCCAGTTTCTTTTACACCCCAAACGTCCGTCTTTCACACTCAGACCCTGTGACGCCAGGTTTGTTTTCTGGCCTGGGGACTGTTGATGTTGGAGAGGTTCCACTGGGCAGCCGCAGTTTTGCAATAACATGACACGTATGCCTGCAGACCTAGCCTGTCTCCTTCACTCCTCCCGGAGGTGTTGGTCCTTGTTTTTAAGGCTTTGTCGTGTATTCACCATGGTCAGTGTCGCCTTTTGAGGACTTGGCAGGTCCAGCGTTGACAGGTTTGCCTCGTTGGACTTCTCTCTGATTCTCACACCGGGGATGCTTGCATTTAGCAAACCACGTACCTGGCCGGCTGACACCTAGAACTCGAGAGCGGGCATCGTCTCTCTTGCATGAGTCTTGGCCAGAAACTTTGTTCTACTTTTATAAGAAAATATGAACTCTTGCTGGGTTTTTTGTTTTGGGAGCTAGCTACCAAGGAATTTCTTAATATAACTAGAATTAAAACAATTTTTTAAAGTCATCTACATTTTATAGCAGAGCGTAGAGAGATTAAAGAAATGACAAAAACTAGGCTTCATCTCATTCTTCATCCCATACCCCACTGCTTCTAATGTTACTGTTTGTGGACATTTGGCTACAACTGTGATTTATACAAGTCTTTTCTTTCCTTTTTATTTTCTTGGTATGGGAAAAGCCTATGCTTTCTTCTCTGAAAAAATGCTCTCTCTCAGGAACTATGGTCTTTGAGCCTTAACCCTTCTCTTTGTGCAGCACATGGGCACCTTCCCTCAGTCCCTGGTCCCAGTGGCTGACTCTGTAGCCTCTGGTGAGGTCACTAACCTTCCCTTTCTCCTTCTCCATCTCTTTCTTTCCTTTATCTCCACCTTTTCTCATTAACTTCTTTCATGATCTGATCTGGGACTTCAAGAAGGCCCTGGAACCTGGCCGCCTGCGTGAAATCTAAAAAGACCATGTCTTTCCTTCCTTGCCTCTTGGGCAGCAGCTCATGGTAACTGTCCCCAGAGACAGCCATCAGCGGGGATGCAGGTGGAAATGCATTTCTTATATGTTCTGCCTGGAAAATGGCCCCCTGTCTCTTCATACATGAGTGAGTGTGCCTACCTCCCCACCCATGTCACCAAACAGCCGTCCGCAGCATCCTGCCCTTACCTGCCCGTGTTGGAGCCTTGCTCCTCTGGGCCCTTTGTGTTGTTCCTCCTCACCTGGAAGTTCCTGCCCAGAGAGCTGCTGCTATGATTGAGACTTGGGGTCACTGAGGCAACTGCACCTCCTGGCTGATTCCCCCACCCCCAAACCAGCACTCTTGGCCTGCCCAGAAACCGCGGGTGATGTAATGACCTGAGGCCTGGAAAAATAAACAGCTCTCAGGGAAACCAGCGGTAGCCGTTGTAAGCAAATACCCCGCAGCCACCTGGAACCTCGCACATGACGTGATTGGAAGGAAGAATGAGTAATCCACTAACGTTAGCAGCCGAGGACGGGTCTGGGCTTGTGTGCATTTAAAATATCTATATAAAAACAAACCCTTGATGTTTACTTCTCTGACTGGCCTTCTGGACGTCTGCCCGTCTAACTATGCAGGTGCCTCGGCCAGTCATGGCCAATGGAACAGAGTTGGGACGGGCGAGCATCCCTACGGCTTTCTCTGTGGCAACAAAGGCCTTTCTCAAGTTTTCCCTTTGCAGACAGGAGCCATAAACACA